GTGTGCGACAAAATTGGAAATTTGAAAATTTCTTTCGGGTTCCAGATGATTGATTGAAGAGTGTTTTGTAATACATTTGGTATAAAATTGTAATTTATTTTTGTAGACCTGGGAAGATACTAATAGTAATTTTCACTTTCATTCTTCGTTTCCCAGTTTTCGTGACGAGGATTGAGAATGAAAATTGAAAATTCCGGAATTTATCTTAACTTTAATTATTGTAGCTCTGAAATAATGATAATAATAATTTTATTTATATTTTCAATGACAGAAATTAAGAATGAAATTAAGTAAAATTAAAAATTCAAACATTAAATAATTTATATTTAAATCATTATAGTTTTAGAATAACAATAATGTGTTATTTTATGTTTTACATTTCCGATGACAGAGATTAAAAATGAAATTAAATAAAATTAAAAATTCCAAAATTAAATAACCTTTAAATTATTATAATTCTGGAATAACGATAATAATTATTATTATTTTATTTCATGTTGTACATTCTCGGGGACAGAGATTAAGAATGAAATTAAATAAAATTAAAAATTCCAAAATTAAATAACTTACCTTTAAATTATTATAGTTCTAAAATAACAATAATGATCATTATTATTTTATGTTTTACATTCTCGGTGACAGAGATTGAGAATGAAATTAAAGAAAACTGAAAATTCCAAAATTAAACAATTTATCTGTATGTTATTATAATTGTAAAATAAGAATAATTAGAGTATCCTATTTTATTTTGTGATAGAGATATTGAAAATAAAATTAAATGAAATTGAAAATTCCAGAGTTGAATAATAATTAAATAATTAAATAGTTTTAAAAGAATAATAATAATTGTATTTTCATTTATTTTTAGAATTTTTTTAAAATTATTTTTACATTTTCTGTGACAAAGATTCAGAATAAAATTAAATGAATGAAGTTGAAAATTTTAGAATCGAGTAATTTATCTTTAAATAATGCTAGTGATACACCACTTTAATTATCTTCTTTATGTCAGAATGTCATTATTTAATTTCCTATGCAATCATAAGAAATTTGCAATTGCACATGACACGCTTAATATAAAAAAATTACACGAGATATTCAAGATCCAGTGCTTTTTATAACGCATACTACATAAAACAATTTTCCATTAAGGCTCCATTATTTATTTTATTTATTCACAAATTTATGAATTTGCATAAAAATCCGCAGTCGAGTTTATTACAAATCTTATTATTTCAGCTTACACAGCAACAGATTTTTTTTAAGAATAAATAAGATACATAAATGTAATATAAAAATATAAAATTTATTAGGACTCTGACAAATAAGTTGTGATCATCGAATTTTCATTGAAATTGCTTAGTAATTATTTTGTGAGAGATTTCATTCCTTATTTTGTTCATTAATTATTAATTTCATGTTTAAGATTATATTTTTCTGCTTCGACCTTGTCAACATGATCTATTGAATAATTACTTTTCAATCGGTATTACATGATAATCAAATAATGCTATACAAATTAAAATAGTATAGTTTAATTAATAATACTATTTTAATACTAGTTAATAGTATAATTTAGTTAATATAATTTAATTTAATTTAATAATATAATTTAGTATTTTGCAAATATTAGTATGACATATTATGATGCTTGGACAAAGAGATATTTAAATAATACAACTTCTTCGTTCAAAATATAATTTTTATAAAAATAATGGTAAAAAATAATTTTTATTATAAAATTTCCATTGAACGCACAGTTATTTATATTAAATACGCAATAACGAATCATTAACAATTCTTAAAAAAGAACAATACAATTACATTAAGAAGACTGTATTGAATAACATATTTAACAAAAATACTTGATAAAATGTTATTTTAATAATCAACGTTATTAAACCATATTAAATAATAAATTAATCAATCATCGATCTTTCTTGTTAATTATATTTATCTTATTTAATAATTACTGTTGTAATGTAGGTGTATGTTTAGAAGAAATTCCAAAGAAAAATAATTTAAAATTTATAATATTAACATTTAAAACATTTTCTCAATATTTTCATTGATATCTCATATATATATATATTAATAAAAAAAAAAATTTTAATATTTATTCTAGGAAATATTTAAACATGGTATGTAAGTTTTTTTTATTTTTAAAATGTTACTATTAATATTTATTAGTATATTATTATATTATTATTTTACAATATTTTTGTAAAGTAGTATTACTATAATTCTTCTATTTTATCTTTAGTAAAAAGAAAAGTATAGAAATGCTGAGAAATTATTCAAAATGTATAATTTAGAAGTGTAATTCAAAGAAGCAGATATATTGCTCAATGTTTAATAAAGGGTTAAATAATGGTAACAAGGTGATTTGCATTACAGAAGAAGAATAATTATGTAAAATAATAAACATATATTAGTTAGTTAAGAATACAATAATGATGGTCAAATATTGTAACATACTACTATATTATAATAAACTTATATTAAATAACAATGTTGATATACTACTTAATTAAACTACTTATATTAAATAACAATGTTAATATAATAATATTATATATTAATTTAAATATTATAATTAACAATATTGACAAAACTATTTATATTAAATAACAATGTTGATATAATAATATTATATATTAACTTAAATATTATAATTAACAATATTAACAAAACTACTATATTAAATAACAATGTTGATATAATAATATTATATATTAACTTAAATATTATAATTAACAATATTTGATATGCTGAAACAGTCTAAAAAGCTAAAACATTGAACAATAAACAGAAGCAAGTATACTATTCAGTCAAATCTGATTCAGATCATCATTATGCATTGAAATTATAAAATATCCGCTGTCTGACGAAAAATCAATTAAAATGAGAAAAAAATAGAGAAAAGAAAAATAACAGAGACCTTGTCTAAAGGTCACAACTACTATATATATATATATATATACTATTGATTCAATAGAAACGATTCGACAAAATGTAATAGTCCGTGCGACATGAAAAAAAGGAAAAAAAAACTAGAATAATCAATATCAATCTGTGCGTATAAATCCACGTGTGTTTGTAGGGTGAGAACTATACGTAACGTCGTAGCGTAGGTTACAGCACACGTATGCATGTTACAACGTACGCTTCTAGTCGTCCTGAAATCCTGATAATATCGCTACAGAATTTTGAAGTTTATTTTCTAGCCTTTCCGAGGAGACTTTTCCAAAAACCTTTCCACCGCGCGCGAAGGACACCTCCAGTACGACAGACTACCCTAATTCCAGTGAAGCCATGGCACACGAACTACACGTTGTTGATCGTATTGAAATATAAACATACAGATAAATATGAATAATTTATATACGTGTACATTATTTATATTATTGAGTTGATATATTATTCTTATGTTATTTTTATTATTTTTATTTATATTTGTGTCATGTGTATATTCATTGTATAATTATATAATATTAAGTGTATAAATGATATACTATATGTATAAATTATATTTTACACTATAAAATAATTTTAAATTATATACATACATGGATTATTGTATAATTTAAGTTTATTAAGTTTCTTAAATTTTGTATTAAAAGTACTTTTATAAACATTTACAAACTGTTTCTATATCTGATGATAATGATTTCTGATCGAACCAATTACAAAATATTATTTTATCAAATACAATGTGAATGACTGGCTATAGACCTGTTTTTGGTAGGCATATCTATTTCGAATAGCGACCTATATTGATATTTTCATTTTATATAGGTGTGATACTGCACTCAGACATTTTTGTTGTGAAATTAATGAAAAAATATGTATTTTATAACTTGCGTTATTAAAATAAATTTATATTTATGTCAATGAACAATTTTATACTTATATATTTTATTAATTATACTTTAGAAATGTGAAAATAGTAAAAAAATATAAATATAATATAAAAAATAGTAAAAAAATATGAAATAATAGAAAGAAAAAGAATATTTTAAACTAAGATAATATTTTAAGTTTTTGATTAATCCTCCTCCCGTTTCTTTTAATGATGTAGGATGAGCAATTTGCTAATGACATAATAGTCTGACACCAACGAAATTATTTACTTTTTTATTTCTATTAGTATAAAATCACAGACGAAATATCTACTTCGAAATCTATTCATGTCATATACATACCTCGTCTGTAACAATAGACAAGAAACAAATGGAAAAGTAATAATAGACAAATTTGAAAATTGATGAGTAATAATTATTAATGTTGATTTAAATATTTGCAATAGTTATATTTTTGTTATAAAAAATTGTTATAAAAAATAATAAACGGCAAACATATATTACGGGCAAAAATATATTGCGTCATTATATATTAAATATGATATGATAAAATATATATTAAAATATATTAAAATAATTGTAAAGTTTCAAAAACGAAAACGCAAACATAGATGATCATATCTCGTTTGCATAGATTCGTCTGTATTGTTTGTACAAAAATAAGTAATCACCACATCGATAAGGTAGAAGTCTGTTGAGTCGATCACTGTATAATGTAGCGACCGATATATCTCCAAAATATACAGTAACGCCATCTATACAATCATCCTGTCGAAAAGTACGATTCCTGTAAATCGACATTATAAATTGTAAATTGATAGTTTATTTATTACTATGGAAATGTTATTGCCATGATTACTTGTTTATAGATGTATATATAGATTCTATTTTAGAATTAGTTATTCATTCCATAACTAACATTTGTTGAAAACATTTATCTATTTTTACTGTAAACTGCATCATTATATAATTTATTATAATTTATAAAAAGTTATTGAAGTTACAAAGTTCTTATTTATTTATTTATTTATAGTATTATAATAATATCATTATAATCACTATAAAATTGGTGACCCCGACGTGATTTGAAAAGAAGAACTTTGTTACATCTCTGTTATTTAAAAAAGAAAGAGAAAAATGGCCACATCACCAATTCAAGCTCGTGTACCAATTGCTGAAGAAGCCTACATTCCACCGGTCGTAGAAGCTCCNTAAAAAGTTATTGAAGTTACAAAGTTCTTATTTATTTATTTATTTATAGTATTATAATAATATCATTATAATCGCTATAATAAGTGAGTATTTGCTGCCACCTATTGACAAATATATGAAATTATAGGTATAACCATCAATGATACAACCCATATACATGATATCATTCTCTTTAACCAACTATCATTTTCAACCAAGTATCATTTTGTTTGACGTAGTCTCCATTTCACAGTTGTAGCATAGAACTAAAAAAACCAGTGATTTTTTTCCTGGTAAAAAAAACTAAAAAAATTGGATGTCCTAGTATTGACTAATAGAATAAATCGGACATTCAATGCTTTTTCCTGCCTCACGTCCTGGGGATCGCCAGATCCTTTTCATATCACATTCTGTCATATCGACTGAGGCAAGTATTGTAATCTGCGTCACTTGCGATAGAAATTCAAATCAAATAATATGGATAGCGTTGCTGTTTCTGAAAATTATGAGTAAAATTATGAGAAAAATCACTTTATTATGAGCAATCATACATATATACCTTTTAATCCTTTCAGAAATTTTTCTTTGTCTCAGTCTTGGAGAGAAAATATATTTTTTTTTTAAATTTATACTTTTCAATGCATCTGTTATTGTTTAATTATACTTGAAATTCTTTATCATTAACATAGAAAGCAAGAACAATTGAATTTGATTTTTATTAATGATATTATATTATAACACATTGGCAGTCAACGAGACTTTGTATATCAGGTGACTAGATACAATAATATTAAGAATTAATACTTAATTGCTAGAGTTAGAATTAATACTGTTGTACCATGATCAAGATTAGATTATGTTCACAAAGAAGTTGATGTTGAAATGATTCAGCAACAAATAATAATTAACTTGTGGAATTAGATTTTCTAGACAAAAATTGTTTCACTCATTAAATAATGTTTATAACAAACACCATATTTTAAATGTTTTACATATTTTCGTCTACCATGTACATTCTATATATTTTTCTTTATCTTTATGTTTCCCATAAACGCATAAAAATCAGTAATAGAGGAACATATTTTCGCTGTGATATAATATGATTTCGCATCAAGATATAATTGTATTTGTATACTTGTATCAATGATAATTTAATTAATCAACGACTCATTGCAATATCAGTGGTAGAAAAGATTAATTGTTAACTAATTATTGAATTTGACACGTTTCTTACGATTTTTACAGTCGACAAAATTTTCAGGTGCCTGAAAACTTCTTACCGCAAAATAAATATTGCAAACACAGCAAATACTAATCTAATCGTATCCAATGCTTATTTTTTAATTACTCGCGAAATTGGTTTTTTATTATTTATCGAGATGTAAATTGCACACGACACGTTATACATATAAACCATATCGTTGTCGTATCTCTTTTTTTAAGAAACGATAAAGCCCAAAGCGAGCAGATACTTGCTACGATTACTCTGATACGTATCCATGATTAAGATAGACGTCTGTGTGAAACGGGAGCGCGAAATTGTAACGAGAATTGTACTACAGTTGCACACAAAACACTATTAATTTATAATACAATGGATTCGAAGTGATAGACGACGAAGAGGAGATTCAAATGTTCAAAAATTTGGAGTACGGCGACGCAAAGAGAGCAACCGAGATTTTTTACCACGAGATTCCATAAAAAAATTCTTACAGCCCATCGAAATGCTTGACGTGTTTCTCGTTTCACTTGGCAGCCAGGCGTGGTAGTTTTGAATTTCTGCATGAAAATTGAGCTGATATCCACGCCAAGGACAAGAAAGGAAGATCCGCGGTTTATTACGCGGCGCATAGTGGAAAGAACAAGATGGCGAAATGGTTATTGGAGAAGAATGTTTCTATAGAGGATAGAATCGAAAGTTTCACACCTTCGAGACGGCAGAACGTCAGTGTTGTGAATTCTTGGATTTTTCATTTCATTCCCCAGTTTATCGAGAATGTTTCCTCATCGCGTCCCAATCACAATTTCAGTTGCCTGCGCCTGATTGTTGGAAAAGGACACCGTTGCACGAAGCAGTGAAAAACAATCACGCTGAAGTAGTCAAGCTTCTGGTGGACTAGTCAAGCTTTTCCGAGAATAATTAATACAGAAATTGCGTCTTTTTCTTTCCACAATGCATATAGGCTTGTAAAATGATTCTCCTGTGCGCTACAATCAATTCTAATTCGATGTCATTTTCCTAAAAAAAGTATCAAGCATACTGCGTCTAAGCTTGTCTCAAAGCGACGGAGGCGTTACTGAAGGTTGATCAGTGCAAGAAATCAAGAACTGTTCTTTACTTTACCAGTTCAGGTAACGCAAAGGTATTTGGCAGACTTTTAAAAAGATTCAGATCAGACAAGATACGGTAAGTCTCTATTTAATCTTCTACCTTGCGGCAGTTTATTTAATTCTCTTCTTTTTCTCTATTAGCAATTACAACATTATAGTCGGTTTGTTATGTACTGTAGACGATTTGCAATTGACTTAATTACTTTGTCCTTTTTTTCTGTTTTTCCTTTTATAGTCTAAATGCACACCATTGCACGTAGCAGCCACTCGGAATGTCTGCAAATATTAATCGACAACGGTGGCAATTTACTCGCAAAAACCGATAAACGGCACACAGCGATCGATTTTATACTCGAAATGCCGAAGCCAGTCTCGTTTCTGAATAATATCCGGTCTTCGCGCGCGTTACAATAGAGGATAATAAAAGAGGATAATAAAAGAAAAAAAAGAAAGAAAAACAGCGTGACTTACCTGTTTTAACCTCTCGCGCTGGAAGTCGGTTCGCGGACCATAACGAGTGACCGAACCGTGTACAATAATTCGTCGCTTTCTTCTTGAACTCGTCGTTACGATGTCGCTGGATAGAAATGACTAAGAAGTAGTAAATTTATTATTTGTTTTGCCTGGTGTATACTTAAAACCAGAGACCGGAAATCGTATTTTGAGGTATTATACCCAGAGACTATATTTCGGTGTATACTTAAAACCAGAGACCGAAAACCGTATTTTGAGGTTTAGGTATTAT